TTTATTTATGTTCTATATTGGATCTGTCTCACTTCCTATCACTATTCTCCTCATTCACATTATTTTTTAGTCAAACCAAGAAGATCTCAGCCTTGTGTCACCATCACCAGAGGTGGAACAGCAGGAGGTTATTGAAAAGATGAAACAAAAACCTGAACCAGAACCTCAAAAGGTATGCAAATACAAAATGTTCAAATCTTTCAACTCATTTGAAATATGAACTGAATTTTTCTTTTTTTAAATTTTCAGGTTGTGCACCAAGTTCAAGAAGATGAAATTATCTCAACATATTTATTTATGTTCTTAATTGGATCTGTCTCACTGTCTGCTGTCATCTTTCTTCTCATTTACAGATACAGAGGTGAGCTGTGCTTTCAGGTTGAATAATTTGCTTAAACTTCAATTAGACAAGATTTCTTGTTAGACTTAATTTCTTCTGGAAGTTTTTGAAAGTAAATAACGTTTTATTGTTATTTTAGTTTACATAGTGGCAATTTTTGTCACCATTGGGATCATCCTTATTGTTAAAGGTAAGTGTAATTCCCTATTTTCATATCTATCTTAACAGTATTTTGTGTTTGACTCATATTTATTAAATTAAGATAAAGTAATAATTTGCTTTATTATAAAAGGTTTTTTTGACCTAAATGTTATTTTGAATATTTTGTAAAAACTAAGCTCTTAGATCATCTATCAGTTAAAAAACAACTGTCTATCATTTCTCATCGTCCAAAGTGCTTTCTAAAACTTTCACCTCCCCTTTAACTCGATGCATAACTTGAAACAAAATTTGATAAATGGTTCCATCTTTATTCAGTCCCTTTACTGCAATACCCCAAAATAAAATCCAATATTCATTACCTTCAGATCGGCCATAAAAACACAGGTGAGGCAGTAAGTTCTGATAGGGGGCAGTACTGAGCCCCATTGGACACAAAGGTCAGCAGGTTCCCTTCTTCTATGAATTTAAAGGACTAAAAACAATTCAGGAAAAATTAAACCCTAGGCGTAAATTCAACATGTAAGACTCTTCACCTCAAACCGGCATCACCTATCACCACGCCTTCGCCCCAGCCAACCAGGACACGCCACCGCTCCACCTCGATCCAATCACCCTGCAAGAGCTTCTTTAAAAGGCGAAACAACCACAGATCCACCCGATACACCTGTGCTTCAACCCACCTCCTCCCCATCTCTACCATCAGCCTCCCAGATGCCTCCAGATCCCATCAAGACTCCTCTCTCCAAGCTCCACTCCACCACCAGTGACCGGGCCTGGGGGAAGACCTACCTGAGCTTTGTTCGAACCGATCATCCAAGCTCGCGGCGATTCTCAACACACACGTCTTCTGCCGGTGTTCGAGCGCCACATTCTCGGTCCAATAAAATTGTTACCTGCTGTTTCTCTCTCTGTGCGAGTCTCTACAGATTGAAATACAATAACATATGATTAAAATACAACCAATTCTGGACGACTCTGATCAATCTGTAGGCAGGAAAACTTTTTCATGCAGATCTTCAGTCAGGATTTTATTGAAGAGCTGCTGACAGAAATATGAGGTAAACTGAAAACATGGAAAAGAGGTGATCTGGTGACAAAACTTAGGAGTTTCTGTTTAACTTAAAACATTAAGTTAAATTACACATTACTCTAAAAACTCCATCTCATTGGTAAACCGTGGTGGTGGGAATAGATTATATCTAAATGATCTGAATATTATTTGGTAAACAATATAACAGATATTCTAACAATGAGCTCAATGTAAAGAAAACGAGATTTGCAACTGATATCTATTTTATTCCCCAAGAGGAATAATTTAGATTAAAATTAATAGACACATTATGCAGCATTACAATCACTTCAACCCTAACGGTAGTCATGGTAACCTGTCAGTCATTTTTAATTTCTATTTTTTCCACTTTCCCACATTGATAATTGTAGATTTATTATCGTTTGTGTCATATTTTGAAAGTTGGATAACAAGATATTATTTCTGTGGTGTCAAAGTTTGTGTCTCTTTTCTACAATAGGCAGCAAAGCTGAAGAGAAAAAAGAGAAGTGGTTACCGTCCACACTTGATGAAAGTAAAGAAGAACGACATAATCAGGAAAATGAACTTCATAAGATGAAAAAAGAGACAGAAAAAGAAAAAGGTAAACTTAAAGGAAAACTTTAACAATTCATGCCAAAAGTGTCAAAAAATATATATATAATATTGGAGAATGTGCTGCACAAAATCAACATATTTTATGAGATATTAGTTAATTTAAAAAGACAGAGTTTGGCATTCCAACAATTAATGACTTGGGATCAGAACCAATGTAGATCTGGTGGAGAATACAGATTCTTGTAGTTTGTGGACTTCAGCACATATGTGTCTGTAAAAAAAATAAATCGCAGTTTTATGCTTGTTTGGCATTTCAAAATAGCATGAGGCCACTAGTTTAGTACAACCAGAATGCAAAGATTTCTAGGGACCAAACTGGTTTTTAAACTTCTTTAAGAAAAATGTCAATATTAACCCTGTCTTTAACCCTACTTTGTAAATCATAAAACAGCAACTTTTACATTTCCAGTTGAAATTATGTTAAAAAAGAAAAAAACTTCGGAAAGCTGCAACAGAGCATAAACTGGAGTTCATAGATATTCTGATCAGAGCACATTTCATACTCCTCCAGACTATGGATTGATTTCTTCTCAGTTTTAACACGATTACAATGTATTGTTTCTATTCTGAGTTTAGTGTCTTTTGTTTCCCCAACAGACGAGATTAGAGAACCGACTCCTCAAATACAACAAGCAGAGAAAAAGAAGCAGTCACACTCCACAGATGATGAAATGAAAAAGATGTGCAAACAAGAACTGGACAAGGAAAAAGGTAACCTCAAAGGAAAACTTCAAATCATGCAGAAAATGTCCCAAGAAATTTATTTCATTGGAGATTTTGCTACATTAAAGCAAAAATGTTAATGTTGGAGATTAATTTGCTAAGAAAGACATAATCTGGATTTTAACAGTGTTTGGA